CGTATTCTCTTCTCCCCTGAAGGCCTCCCCAGGTATTTCCTCCATTGCTTTCAGCGGCATTTCGCGAGGCCGTGGGGTACGGTGCAGGGCCAACCAAAGACTCTGCAGCCAATGAAGGACGGAGCCGGGCACCGGAATCGGAGCGCTGGCCCGAGTAGAGGGAGTAGTAGTTCTCCATTATGAGCGCGAAAATTCAATGCAAATTTGTACGCGTTTTCACATTCCAAGGGAAATGCCTGAATATCAGCTACTGTTTAGTACTGTGCTTGTGCTCATTCGCATTCAAAACGATAAAATAGGCGGATATTAACCAAACACAGTTTCATTCCGGAGCTGGCATGGGCGTGTGGCGAAAGTTGTCTCCAATGCTGGTGGTCTGCAGCGCCGCCGACATCGCTCTTACAAGATATGCAGAGGAGGACTGCGTCTTGGCGGTAAATGGGAGGAAGTGGGAAAATAATAATCTACTAATACATATAAAATGAGTTTCTATTCAACACAATTTAAATGCGCGTGAAATGAAGAGAAACTTTTAACGGTCACGGAGCCCGCTGGCCTGCGATCAGCCCCCGGTCATCGTGTGGTCATGCGTTGTGCAGACGACAGGCCGTAATTGCCCCTTTTCCGGCTCTGATTGCCATCGAAAGTAAATATAAGCGGTCATTTAATTTTTGTTGATCCCGAAGTAGCGTCGCACTGATCAACAGGCACAGTACAGGGCCGTACAGCTCATCAGTTTTGCGTGTAGTCTAAGCCGCTGATCAAGATGCGATGCGAGGACTAGATCTTACCATATCAACTCCCACGAATGAAGAACAAACTTTATCTTTCGAAACCTTTCATCAAATAGTCAAATATCTCATCACTGTTGGCCTTCCACCGCACAACATAGTGCACGTGAGCCAGCCGCCTCGGCTGAATGGGTCTGTATCGGCTGCTGTAACCATGGGCGGAGAACAAACAAGACGATCACTGTAGCTCACAATTTTCTAGCAACAATGTCTAAAAGCCTCAGCTCGCCCTGCACTCTGGACAGTGCGGGCGACCCGGCACCCATGAAGTCGCCGA